CAACCCACTCCACCGGAAATCTTCCTGCCCAAAAAGCACTCAGATTTCTTGCTACATGGGCCGGCCAACCTGCTACTCCATTTCATGGTGGTCTCTTCTACCAATTAACGCCTGAAGGCAGCCCACTCCGTCAGGAAGCAGGCATCCAGCTTTCTCTTCTGTGGGCTGGTAAGCCTGTCGCTGTCTCATGCCAGTTCTCTCAGCTCTGCTCCTGCCGTCTCACATGCCATATACCAGGGTCTCTCTGCCAGGGTCTCAGGTCAAGGACACACTTGACTCCTGTTTCCACATTTTAGGTATCTGTCAGAGCAGCATCCCACTCTCTCGGTACCATATTCTGTCCTGGTTACCTTGTGCCATAAACTAGAGACCATTCCCCAAGGCTTCTCCTTATATACAGGAAGCAGACAACATCCCTAAGGCAGCTACCCAGCTGTTCACAGTGGATTCCACCATGGAGTTGATTACCAGTCTCATTATGAAGAATACTACATCCAATTGCCCAGGCACTCAACCAGGCCCAGCAATGACCCTTAACCCACACCACCCCCTCCTCCATCCTCTCTCTAAAATTCCATGTGTGGTAAATGAGTTTTGTTGGTGCAGCATCACCTCCAACCCCCTTTCCTCTGGAACCAGCTTCTCCTCTTCTGTGTCAGGGCTCCAATGGGGCTAGTGATCTGAAAGCATCCTGCTCTCATGGGTTACAGAGATTGGTTCAGGGAAGGACACATGGACCAAAGCAGCCAATCAGAGTCTTTCCTTGGGATTTTTCAATGTACAGCTGGACCAGACAGGCCTCTGTATTTTAAGAGAGTGAATAGAAGAACCAAGGCCAGCTTCCCTCTAGGACTTCCTACTTACATGAGGGAATAAATTCCTCTTCTCTGCTTAAGCTACTTTGAGTGGGTTTCTATCTCTTCTAACTGTTAGAGTTCTAAAAAAAATTTTTTTCTATATTCCAAATTTTCCTCAATAAAAATATGAAAATTTTAGTTTGGAGGAAAAAAAAAATTTTTTTTGAATTCCAAAACCACATCAAAATTAAGCAACATAGAGTAAGTAAGATAGGGGAAGCCAAAATTCAGAACAAACAAACTCAGTGACATTGAGTCGATTCCAACTCATAGCGACCCCCTGTTGGGTTTTGAAGGCTATACAGAAGTAGAATGCCTCATCTTTCTTCCACAGAGCAGCTGGTGGGTTCGAACCTCTGATTTTTGGTTAGCAGCCAAATGCCTTAACCACACCACCACCAGAGCTTCTAAAGATAGGGGAGAGCCTTGAGAAAATTAATGCCATTCTTTGTATAGGCAAGGGCCTTTCTTCACTGGCTGCATAGTACTTCTCCAGCTTCCTCCACTTCACCCCACCCTCACCTCATCCCCCATGTTGTCACTGTTGTTGGGGGTCATCAGGTTGATTCCAACTCACAGCAACCCCATGTGACGAGGAAGAACTGCCCTATGAGGTTTTCTTTATGGAAGCAGGTCACCAGGTCTTTCTTCCACGGACCTGTGGGACGGGTTTGAATTGCCATACTTTTGGTTAGCAGCCAAGCACTTAACCATTGTGCTACCCTAACCCCATAAAGAAACCAGAAAACCTGTTTGTGTCAAGTTGGTTCTAATTCATGGTGCCCCACATTAGAGGGGAACTGCTCCACGGGGTTTTCTTGGCTGTGACACTTATGGAAGCAGTTTGCCAGGGGTTTCTTTAATAGCACTGCTGGGGGCATGAACTGCCAACCTTTAGGTTAGTTGTTGTTGTTGTGTGCTGTCAAGTCGGACTGACTCATAGCGACCCGTCCTTGGGTTTCCAAGGCAGTATCACTACAGAAGTAGATTACCCAATCTTCCTTCCAAGGAGTGGCTGGTGAGTGTGAACGACCAGCCTTCTGGTTAGCAGTCAAGTGCCTTAAGCACTATGCCACCAGAGGTCCCCTTAGGTTAGTAGTTGAATGCAAACCATTTGTACCACCTACCCACTGCCATTGATTAGATGCTGCTTACAGCAACCCCACATGACAGAGTAAAACTGCCCTGTAGGGTTTCCAAAGCTTTAATCTTTATAGAAGCAGTCTGCCACATCTTTGTCCCATGGAGTGGCTGGTGAGATCGAACTTTTCAGTTAACAGCCGAGCGCTTAACCACTGTGCCTCCAGAGTGACGTTCTGCTGCACCTAGGGACCCTCAATAAGATTTTAGCTCTTGTTTCATTTCTGCCAAGAAGCCAAGGTCTGTGCTTATTTTAACATTTTAAGGAATCCATGAAGTTTCCCTACCTCAAGTGAAAAAAAGCAGCTCAGTGGGGTCCTTAGGGTTGACACCTAAGAAAAAATGAAAGCTGTGAAAGGAGTTTTGTAGTATTTGGGGGGAAATGCTCGGTATTGTGCTAGGGGAGTACCCAGATGGTGCTAACAGTTAATAAGCCTGGCTGCCAATGGAAGGATTACAGGTTCAAGTCCACCCAGGGGTGCCTCGGAAGAACGGCCTGGCAATTTCCTCTGTAAAAGCAGCCACTGACAATCCTACGGAGCCCAGTTCTACTGACACATGTGGCGTCCCCAGAGTCAAAACTGATGTCAGTTGGCTTTGGGTGCTGCGCTGAGAACAAAGTACACAGAAGAGAGAACGAGCAGGCACAGTCAGTGATGCCCACCAGACAAACTACCAAGAAAGTTAAACACAGCCACCATTTGGACACGTGTTTTATTGTTTAGAAACTTCCAGTAGAGCTATCATTATATACCTTTGAAGGGAGATGCCTGTGAGAACCCAGATCAGAAAACAGGTACAGGCAGGCCCGTGTCTGCTCTTCCTGCAAGCTTCACACGACACCGGCCCAGAACCACCCAGCCCACCCCGAGGGGAGGTGCGAGGGGATGACGTCCAAGGTACAGCCTAGCACAACGCTTCCCTGGCACCCCCCATACCCGGCGAATGACAAAAAGGTCGCAGGTGTAGATTCAAACTGTGGCCCAAAATGACAACGGACTTTCTCTGGCAGCGTCCAAACAGGAAAGGCGCCGGAATAGAATCTGTACGTAGAAAATCCAACCTCTCGAGCGTCCCAAGTGCAGGCAAACTCCTGGATGAGCTGACCTTTCATTTATTTATTTTAAAGCAAACCAAGTGTATACGGCATCTTTAAAAAAATCATGTAAACGTTGCAAAATGTTTAGGGGTTATTTATAATCTGAAGAGATTTATAAAAAACTATTGGACTTGTTAAGACTACAAATATCAATCCCTCCTCTCCCCATGAAAAAGGAATTGTTACAAAAATATAAAAAATATACTAGCCTCTACCATTTAACCCTTCCACTCACACAGAATATACTGACTGACCACTCCCCTTCCCAAGCAAGGAACCAGAAACGTCATGACTCTGGGACAACATACCATGCAACAAGCACCGATGCAACTTTTTCAGTTTGTTCAGGAGAAGCAAGTTACAGGACATTCTCTTTCAATTTTGAGATGGCAGCTACTTTCTTCACAGGATTGCAATGCTAGTGAGTAATGAGAATGTGAAGTTTCCTACTGCATTCCCCCTGCGTGGACCCAGTGTGGAAACTGTAGCATCAAGGCTGCTTTCAAACCTCACTCCCTTAGCGTCTTCTGGTTTCTCTCTCTAGTTCCTTCGGTTCCATTTTGGAACTTGGTCTGTCCCTAGACTCGTGAGATGGCCTTGGCTTCCCTAACTGCTCACGGGACGTGCATGATAAGGTGGGAGGGTTCTCTGTGAAGAGGAACAAGGTACTAAGCCTGTTGCTGCCCGTAGCCACTTTCCTGGGGTCTGGTTCAGAACCCCACCATGGGAGGTGCTAATGGGAAGCCACATGCTTGGCCAGCCCCCTGGCCTGGCGAGATGACTGATGCTGTGGGACGCAGTGCTCTGAGTCTGGGAAGGGGCAGCAGCGAATGTGAAGGCAAAGTACTTTGTACTACAACACTTCCGTGGACTCTGAATCAGGTCTACAGCAGCCGAGCTACCAGGTACTTTGACCAATTAACAGCTAAGAAATGGGACTAAATTCTGTTTGAAACAATCTGACAATTTTCAGTCTTTTGTTGTCCCTGCTGCTGCCAGCAGGGGGCGATGTATGATAAGACGTGATAAAGCCCTGAGGAGAGACTCGTCCCCAAGACGAATCCCTCCAAATATCACATAACTGGGATATTTCTGGGGATGCACCCTGTGTCCAGAGAGACCTCTCGGATGGGAGTCTCAGCCAAAGCCCGTCCCAGTGAACTTTTTACACTCAAACCCCTGTCTGTGTGCGCAGGGCCTTCCTCACCTGCTTCAGAGCTCCAGAGCAAAGCAACGGTTCAACCTGGAGCCTAGTCACACCCACTCATCCCCTACAGGACCCTCTGACCTTGGCCTAAGTCCTCAGTGCTTACCGCAAAGTAGCCAGGCATCCTGCCCAACCCATGTACCACTGCCCTCACTGCTCTTGTCTGAGATAGGCTGCGTACCTCCAGCCCAGAAGGTGGACCCTGTCTGAGCCTCCAATGGATGTCCAGGCTCTACTGGTTGAAGGACTAGATTTTCACATGGCTAAGGGTTTTATTTCCTAGATGACATGGGTGAGTTTCAGATTTCCAGTCCTTACCGTGATTAAATTAAAGTCTCCAAATCTGAAACATCTCACCCAATACACCCTGGCTGCTGAAACTCTACATGGACTTCCTGAAAGCAACAGACTCCGAGGTCCCTGGCCACATCTGCTGAGCGAGTGTCCCTGTACTTTGGCTGCATCAAATAACAGAGCCGCTGAGACATCGCAAGTACACGTTTGCTCAGAGGAGAAGTGCTCCCAAACACAAGGCACAAAGAAAGAAGTCTCCTGGGGCAAAATGATGAAGAGTGCGACCAGTGACCTCTGTGAGGCCTGAGGCAGAGTCGCTGGGGAAGGTGGGTTCAGTCTGGCTGAGATGCCCAGAGAAGGAAGGCCGGAGAGCGAGGTCTCCCTCCGGGGCCCTGGGTGCTCCTCAGGCATACTTCTCCAGGAACTTTATGTGAAAGTCCTTCACCTTCTGTAGAACCGTCTTCAGCTTCTCCACTGGAGGCAGAATGGTCATTCTGTCGGGACAGAGAACAGCATCAGCCTGGACACCAGTTGTTCAGGAAAAAGAGGGATGAACGCAGCACTTTGTCCCTCCGTTTACAGAGAGGACACCAGGAGGCATGGGAAGCTTCCTGAGGGGCACTGAGCCTGTGCTGTTCACTGCAATAGCTCCGGCTCCTGGGCAGCACCGAAAACAAACCCCACTGCCATCGAGTTGATTCCGACTCACAGCGGCCCCCACTGGGTTTCCAAGGCAGTAAATCTCTAGGGAAGTAGATTGCCCCATCTTCCTTATGCAGGTTTTAACTACCAGCCTTCTGGTTAGCAGTCAAATGCCTCAGGCATTGCACCACCAGTTCTCCTTGGATACCACCTGGCACTTATTAAACTACTTTTTGAATGAGCTGAGATGAACCTGACTAAGGATGGAAAGGCCAGCCAACCACGAGTTTGTCTGCCTGGGGAATACTGTCCACAACCCTGGGCTCCAGGTGCTGACTAAGCTCACGACATTCCTTTTTGTGGCCATCTGTTTCAGGAGACGTCTAGGAGTGACCTGTGTGGAGGGGATGCTGCTCTGAATAGTGGGGAAACCCTCGATGAGTGGCTCCCACCTGCCGAGTGCTCGGAGACGGCATTCTCACCTGGGCAGGGGCTCAGTTGGGGTAAGGAGCCAAAGAGAAGGCAAGGAGCCTGGTGGGAAGCATTGCAATAGTGGAGCAGGTCCCACCGTGTGTGAGATGCAGCAGTTCTGCAGGCTCGGGGCCCAGCAAGGCGGCGCTGAGGCACACCCTGGCTGCGTCCAGGCACACTGCTCTCCACACCTGAGGCTGTGTGCTGCTGTCATGGAGTTTAAAGGGACAGGAAGGCAGAGAACACACTACCGGGAATTTCACATAGTGACATGAGGCATGAGGGCAGTGATGGGGAGAGACAGAACGGTCAAGGAACGCCTTTCAGGGGAGATGACCTTTGGGTTCATCCGTAGTTTTCTTCACTCTCTGAGCAGAGGGGCAGAGCTTGGCTCAGAATGGGTGGGGCAAGGCAGAGGGACAGCAGTTCCACACACCTCAGTCTGTGAAGCCAGCTTGTGCTCAATGTTAAGAAGCCCCACGTAAGGACTGCCTCCCTTCCCCGACCCAGGTGCGGAGAGGAAGCTGTACCTGAAATGGTAAGTGCCTTTGCTCTGTCCGAAGCCGCTGCCAGGCACCACACAGATGCCGGTCTCCTCTAGTAGCTTCATGCAGTAGAACATGTCTGGGGCCATCTTATGGGCCTGCAGGAGCAGGACAGAACTTAGGAATCATTCCCGGCTTTGCAATGCACAGCGGTACTATCACAAACTCCAGGTCAAACGCAATTTGTGTGGCTGGTTGTCTGCCACGGCAGGGTCTCCTTCCCTCCCCTGCCTGGGAGGCCCAAGAAGCCACAGCTCTTGCTGGGTGATACCAGAGGCTGTGCGGGAACGAGAGACCCAAAGGCTGACTCGGGACAGACATGGGCCATGGCTCTTCTGCTATCCCTCTGGGAGCACAGGTCTATTTCCTTTGCTCCCCATCCCAGGCCAATAGGCTTGTGGCCTCTCTATGCCAAACCACATATACTCTGAAAACGAGCCCCTGACATTTGCAACCAGTGGGGGCTTTCAGGGAACCAGCTTCTCTGGGGTCCTGGTAGATAGTGCTTTTCACACGTTGGTTTGCATAACAATTGCAAACAGTTAACCTGTCTGGCTGTGAACTGAAAGGCTGGAGGTTTGAGGTCACTCAGAGGTACCTTGGAAGAAATGCCTGGTGATCTGCTTCCAAAATATCAGTCGTTGACAACCTTATGGAACCCAGTTTTACTGACACACATGGGGTACCACCATGCATCAGAGTAGATTCCATAGCAACTGGGGGGCGGAAGGTGGGGACGGAGAGAGCCTGTTAAATACAGATTGTTAGGCTCCAATACCAGGAATTCTCATCCAGGATGCCTGGGGTGGAGCCCAGAGTTTTAATGATTACAAGGTATTTGGAGGGCCTGGGGGATGGTGGCAGGGTAACACTGTTAGTGACACTGCTCTAGTCCTTGTTCCTTGAAGTGTGTGGGGTCTTTGGCCCGGGCTTGTTAAAAATGCAGAATCCTCAGGCCTCACTGCAGACTTACAGAGCCAGAACCTGCAGGTGAACAAGCCTCTGGGTGACTGGTGCACGTGAGTGTGAGGAGCGCTTCTCTAGGACCCAGTGGCTGGGGAGGATGGCGCTTGCCTAGCACCTATACAGCTTAAAATGCATCCCATCACAGCCTGCTGTGCTAACAGCCAATCAGCACCACTCGGCCTAGGCCCTCCAGGCCTTTGCCTGACTACTACAGCACATGGGGAACTGCGCTTCTGCGAGCCTATTGTCTCCAGGCAGGAGACACTGGGCAGTAAACACGGTCTGGCCGTGGGTTCCACAAAATACAGACTCTAGGGTCAGCATCTCTGTGCCTGAAGGCAAGAAGCAACCCCAAACCAGCATCTCAAGAAAGCTTGGAGAGAGCAGGCTGGCACCAGCCGGTGGCCCCTGACCTGAGCTGCCTCCACGGCTTTGGTCGGGATGAAGATCCGAGGAAAGGCATACATGGCTCCCTGCAAGGGGTTGCAGTGAATTCCTGGGACTTGGTTAAACAGGTCTTCTGTCAGCTTTGCTTTTTTGGCCAGATTACCCAGGACGGACTCCTTCTCCTGAGGAGACAGAGAAAGCACGGCAGTTAGCATCTGTGGTAGTTAAGGCCAGGTGTCAGCTGGGCTGGGCCTGGTTGAGTGGCTGGGCAGCTGAATGTAGTTATTCCCCATGGTGAGATTGGTAATTCACTCCATGGTGGAATCTACTGGAGCAGCTGAGTAGCTGCTTTAGGGATGTGGGCTGCTTCCTGTGTATAAGAAGCAACTTTGAGGACGGTCTAGCTTTTGGCACACGCTTGAATCCTGCGTGTAGCCAAATCATTATTCAGCAGCTGTTTGTCTGCCGGTCCTGGGACTGTTAATGGAACTTGAATCAACGTCCTGCCATGTTGTTTGGTAAGATCAGGACTGTGCCATTTTATTTGTCGACCTGGGGCTTGTCACCCTTAGCAGCCAGCAGCTGCCTGAGTGAAGGGACATCTCTAGCTTCAGTGGGCCGGGAGCAAGAGACAGAGCTGAAGCCCAAGGTCGAGGGGCTTTCACCCAGCCCCCTAGACCTGGCACTTTGAACTCAGACTTATAGCCTCCAAAACTGTAAGAGAATAAACTCCTCTTTGTTCAGCCATCCACCTGTGGTATTTTCCGTTAGAGCAGCATGAAGTAACCGAAACAGCATCTCCGGATGACAAAGAATGGCTCCAACTATTAGAAATTGTCCCTTTGACAGCTAGGGGGATTGCACAGATTAGCAAAAGGCATGTTTGTGTGCCATGAGCACAGCAAACCAGGGTGGTACAGTGAAATGTGTGCCCTCCTGAAGAAACTTTCCATGGACACTCAGCCCAGGCGGCTGCCCCAGGCATGGGGCATGCAATGTGGAGCATGTGAGCGCATGGGGCAGTGTTTCAGGCCATAGCGTGGGTCCCGGGTAACGTGTGAGAAGGGTTCTAATCTCACCATGGTATCATTTCTGAAAATAAGAAAAACAGTCACCTGCCAGTCAAGTCTGAATAGACCTGGTCCTGGGTTTTGTACTATGTGTGCACAGGCTCCTTATAGAACCCTTGAGAACATGTGTGTACCCCTTCTGGTGACAACTTCTACCTTTTCCTTTTAAGGGACCTTCAGTCTATGAGGTGTGTGTAGGGCCCATTTTGGGGGAGCTCCCCTATTCTCAGTCCATGGGTGCCATAGGGCACGTTACCCAGGCAAGATCAAACAGAGTCAGTGATGATTCAGAATTGGACACATCTAAAGCTGGGACAGAGTTCATCCAGGACATTTGCAGGTACTGTTGGGAAAAGATGTGAACTGGAACAACTGGGAATTGTCTTCTTGGTTACATGACCCATAAGTTCTTTGTTGTTGTTGTTGTTTACACTAGTCAGAGATGAGTATTGTCACTCATAATCAAAGAGGTCCTGACTGCACTGCATCTAGCTGTGAGGACTCCTGGTAGGGCCAGAGGCAGGGATATGCCCACCATCTTTTTAGTTCATCTTTTTAGTCCATCTTTTTAGTTCAGTAACAGGACCACCCTCCATCCCCAACCTATCCCCTGCCCTCCAGAGTGTAAATAGCTCTTCCCTCCGGGTGCCCACCCAGCATGGTACTCATAGGTGAGGAAGAGGAGGTGGTCCTCTGACTTTAGAACCCAGCCCAAGTGCATCCTGGGACTTAACCTTACCCTCAAGATGATTCAGGTACCAAGAGGAACTATGAGAGCCCCCTGCAGCCCACACCCCTAGGAGGCAGGCATCTGGAGAAGGCTGGCCGCTGGCCTACGTAGAATTCACCTCGTGGCCTTGGCTGCACCAATGAATGTGGACAGGCCATGGGACATAGCTGACTCACCCTGCTGAACTGCTCAAAGGACTCCTCTCCTGGCACTGGGGGGTTCACGACAATGTCCATGGCAGCCTGCCCAGACACTGGTGGGCAGAGACGTACTGAGAGCAGCTTTACCAGCTGGCCCTTGATCTCAGGGTGCAGGTTGATCACCTCCATGTAGCCTCCTCTGTAGCCACACCTGGAGGGTGAAGAGAGAGAGAGAGAGAATCCACCAATTACAGAATGAACTTTAGCTAAGTGTAACCCTGCCAGCCAAAACCTTCTATAACCATTCCTACCCCCAACACTGGTGGCTAGGGGTGGCCAAGTGAGTGGAAGTGATATGTACAATTAACATATCACTTCCTTATAAGGAAATAGCATGTTCTCACCTTCCTTTTCCCTCTTCCCACTTCCTAAGACATGGAGACACCAGTAGTAACCTTAGCACTAGAGAGAGACACCACACGTTGAAATGGCACAGCCTTCCCTCCTGCCAGCCTCAGTGCTTAGAATGAGCTTGTGGAGAGAGCCTGCCTGGCCTGCCCCTACCTTTGGACTGTTATATCAAAGAAATACACTTCAACTTTGTTTGAGCCACTGTATTTTGGGGCCTTTTTGTCACAGCAGCTAATCCTGAACCTTAACTAATACACTAGCCCCTGCTCCAAAGCTGACACATGAATCAGGCCTGGCCAATGGCTGCACGGCATCACCCTGCACGGGCTCCAGGGGCAGGCAGGCGGGCACATGATTCATTGGCACCAATGTGCATCTCAGCCCGAGGACTTTTGCTGGAACAATTTCTGCTGCCTGGAAACAAATTCAACCCAAAGGAAAGCCAAGCTGAGAAAGAAAGCAGAGACAGGGTCCCGCTGACATCTTTAAGTCCTGGACTCTAAGCCTATAACCCTGGACTTTTTTACCAATATGGATTAACAAATTTAAAAAAAGCTTCTGTAGTATAAGGCAGTTCAAGGTAAGTTTCTGTTACTTATAGCCACAAGAATCCTGATTAGTACAGAGTCAAATCACATGGAAATAAGTTGAAGTCAGGCAATGAGTTACAAAAAAATCTGCTTTCAGGACCAGCTCAGGTCCAGCCACACTCTCTTGAGCCTCTCCTCCTCCTCTGACTCTAACTGCTGACTGTGAACTGAACCAGTAAAGGCAGATTTCCATTCAGTCCCTCAAGCAGACTTCCCAAGGTGGGAAGATAGATTATGACACATAACACAGAAGGTTTCCCACAACAAAGGTTAAAAGAAGGAACTTCCTGCTTATTCCTCTACTGTTGAGCAAAAAATCAAATTGAACAGTGTAGTCTAATCTCAAAGTAATCAGAATCAGGAGGCAACAGGGTAAAACTCAGGACGCCAACATCCAGGGGACTGACGGTCAAAAAAAATAACAGGGTGGAGAGGTCGGTAGGCATGGGATAAACACACTTGTGTTTGAAAAAGGAGTCAGTAGAAATATGTTTGTTTAGGAAAAGAGCTATGAAGCACATGAAAGTCTAGCAAGGAGCAGCCCTGCTACCAGGGGAGACCAGAAGGACCAGCACAAAAACGAACCCTGACCCACATCAAGCAAAGCCAAGAATGGTTTGGCAGCTATTCCAAGGGGCCAGCTCCCTTACCTTGGCCAAAATATTTCTTCATATTCTGTTACAATGGCCTCCAGCTTACCAAATGAGAACCCTCCTCATCTGACACCTGGTATTAGAAAAAAAAAACTAACCAAATCCTTGCTATTGACTCAATTCCAACTCATAATGAACCTTTAGGACAGAATGGAACTGTCTCATAGGGTTTCCAAGGCTGTAAATCATTATGGAAGCAGATTGCCTCATCTGTCTTTTTCAGAGCAGGTGGTGGGTTTGAACCACCAACTTTTTTCTTTGCCCGATAGAAAGACTTTATAAATGTTAGCACCTGTTATGTCTTACATGAACACCTGGCTCATGACAGAACCCCTGGAACATTGAAGAACAAATTCCCTTAGCTGGCAAACCCTCTAGCCTTTCCTTCTCAGGGTCCTTTGCTGGTACCTCTTCATCTCCCCCAACCTCTGAACAGTAAAATCCTTGGGCCCCTTCTCTATCTAGACTCACCCCCCAGTTGCAGGGCTCTCAGTACAACTCAAATGTTGACATCTCCCAAAGCCAAACCTCCAGCCCATGCCAGCCCTGACCTGCAGACTCACGTCCATCTCTGTCTGGAGACCGAATAGGCATTTGCAAGCTAACATGTCCAAAACCAAACTCCTGGTCATCCTCCCAAAGCTGCTCAACCACAACACAGCCTTTCCCATCTCAGATGACGTCTCAGATGACAACTCCATCCTGCCGGTTGTTCAAAGAAAAAACCAGGGATTCATCCTTGAGTCCTCTCTCATACTCCACATCTATTCCATCAACAACTTCTGTCAGCTTCATTTTGAAATATAGCCAAAATCCAGCAACTTCTCACCATCTCCACTTTGGTCCATGATGCCATCACCTCACCAAGAATACGTATTACACAGCTTCTGGACGTGAGTCCCTGCTTCTGCCTCTACCCTCACCACACAGCAACCAGAGGAAGTCTAAACAGTCTGATTAGGTCACTCCTCTGCTCCAAACCCTCCAATGGCTCCCATCTCACTCTGAATAAAAGTGAAAAATAACCTAAATGGCCGAGGTGACCTGGCCTCCTACTGCATCTTTGGTTTCAACTTCTTCCACTTTCCCCTCCCCCATTCCTATCCTGCTTCTCAGACATGCCAGGCATCCTTCCACGTCAGGGCCTTCGCACATGCTGTTCCCTCTGCCTAGAATGCTCCTCCCCAGATTACCTGCATAGCGCCCTCCCTCACCTCCATCTAGTCTCAGCTCCAAAGTAAACTTGTATATGATACTGCACTATGTGAGCCTACAGCCCTGCCTCCACATTCTCCCTAATTCTTTTTCTCCATCCAACACATAATTGACTAGTTTGTCTACTGCCTCCCTCTCCTCACCAGAACATAAGCTCTGTGAAGGTAGGGAGTGTTTTGTTCACTGCTGTATCTTCAGAGCAGGTGCTTAATAACTGTAACCAGAAGAATGAGCACAAGACTGAAGCCAACTCTTTGGCCCCTGAGATCACCCAGAACTAAGGTGGTCTCGCATAGAGCTTACCCATCAGCCTGACGGCACTTGCTCATGCTCATCTAACCTGCCCTTCCTGGCTGCTCGAGCATCAGCCAATGTCACAAGTGACAGTGTTAGCAGGAGACACTAACGTTGGAGCTGCTTCATTTCCATCATCCACCTGTGATCTGGTTTCTTTTGAGCATGGCCTTATTTCACTTGAACCCCTGACAAGGACTGTTCTCACACCACCAGGCTCCCCTCTTGGGGAGGCGCAACCTGTCCTCTCCTAGTTCTTAGACCAGCAGATGTCACAGGTAAGGGTGGCCATCTTTTCTGCCCAAGAGGGTTGACAACAAGACAGGCAGAGGATCAGGCCGTGAAGAGACAGCAGCACCGGGCCTATGCTGGCCCCAGAGGCAGAGGGAGAGACGCAGGAGGCAGGTGGGTGGCCAACATACTCGCCCATGTAGCCCTTGGAGGTGGAGTGGAATGAGGCCAGCTCCACATTGCTGGAATATTCGGGCCCCATCTCGTAAAGCACCTTCTTGAAGGAGTGGAATCTGCAGTCTGGGGAGTACACGTTGTCCTGGTACACCTGCAGGGGAGGACATGCCCGTCACCTCAAGGTCTTCCCGAGAGGCTGCTGTGGGAATGTGGTCGGGGGGCAGAGCCTGTTCATGTCCCAGCAGAGGGAGGGCATGGGTGCTTGTGGGGCCCAGCCTCGAACACACCAGCCAGCTCCAGCCTCTGATCCCACATCCAGGGGAGCCAGTACATGCCTGGAGGAATATTCCTAGACAAACAAGGTTCCCCCTTGGGCTTGACACCGAGCTTAAGGCAGCCCCCGGAGCCCACTCGATTTCTCCCATGGTCTTCACCACCCAATTTCTAGACTGCCTTTCTACCTCTTCAGACCAATGATGTAATCAAGCACTCCCATCTTCCCAAGTAAATTTTCATCTCAAGTAAATTTTCTTCCCAAAGTAGTCTTTGCTCTCTTTAGTAACATTAATAATAATTAGCAGCTATCATACCCATTCCTTGACCTGCCTATTTGAAGAGCTCACCCTGTCATTCACTCAGCCACTTTGTATTTCCTTTACAATACACTCTAGTTTGGAATGATTTTGTTTTTCTGTCCACACTCCACTGTCGGGATCCCCCGCTAGACTCTAAACATAGAGCAGCACCCACATCTGTCTTCTCCCCTGCCCATGAGGGTCTCGCACTCAGAGCAGACTCTGCCCATTGAGATGAACTTCCCACCATCACTTTGGACAGCAGGGAAATCAAGGTTTTTTGAGCTGCCTTGGGGTCAGTGGGAGGGCCAGGGGGCTCCAGCTTCAAAACACCAAGCAGGGTCCTTCTCCTCTGCTTCCTCCTCCCAGACCCAGAGGAGGGGCTTCTGCACTGGGTCCTCTCTGCAGAAGAAAATTCAAGGCCCATCGGCTACTAATTATGACAACTATTTGGTGGATAAGCTTTGTGTGTGTGTGTCTGTGGGGTGTTGGGGGTGGATGGCTAAGGAGGAGAGAAATGAAGCTAGTGTTCTAGAAGCCATGACAAACCAGATATGCAGAAAGGGAGATGAAGTGGAAGCAGGATTTAATGAGCCTCAATTTCTTCTCTGTAAAGAAGGGAAACAATGGGCAGGCCCAGGCATCAGATCTGGAGTTCATTAACCTTCAAGGATTGTTTGCTCATTGGTTAAAAGGGCATTAAGATCCCCTCCCCACTGGCTGTTGTGAGAATTGAGGTGGTGTACATGGAAGCCCGAGGGAGGCAGAACTGCAGCTGGTATCAGTCCTTTCTACCCACTCAGCACACAGTCTCCCTTCTTGGGGAAGAACTCTCGGATTGCCCCTCAGAGATAAACGTCTCTCTTGTTCTCCATCTGGAGGTTTGGGAAGATAAAGCAGAAACCCTAAGCCTTGCTCTAGGCCTGGCCAATTTGCATGTTGCATCCCACCAGCAACAGTGATTGGTTCAGCAATGGGTGTGTGACTCAAGCTGCACCAATGAGGCTCAACTCTGAGATTTTTGCTAGAACCACCAAGAAAAGAAGTCCTCTTTCTAAAGACTGGTAATTCTAGGCTGGGACGAGAACAGGCTGTGCGTAAGAGGCCAATGCAGAGAAATGGAATGAGAGAGAATCTCAAAGACACGGTTTGAATCCCTGGATCCAGTCCCTCACCTGTGACCTCTACCATCTTTTTATTTTTCTTTCTGTGATTTAAGTGATTTAAGTTTCTGAAATTTATAACCAAGAATCTAAACCACCATAGGGATGATTTAAGCCATAGTCTCAGAGGTCTTAACACTGAATATCCTTACCCTTGACCAGAGTCTCTCTCCCAACATCTAGAAATTTCTTTCTTGATTCAGAATAAAAATCAGACTCTCTCCCCCTAGGTGAGAAAGCTCACCCCCTTACCCCTCACTGAAGGGAAAGCTGGGACCACTCTTACCTCATCAGCCAAGAGAAAGAGCTTCTCTTCCCAAGCAAAGTGAATCACATCTTCTATGCACTTTCTGCTCTGCACTTGACCTAAAACATCCCCAACAAAACCAACATTTAGGCTGCAAACCCATTTCAATTGTTCTCAGAGCAGAACCCCGAAGTACTCAGATGTCCTGTGTTCCCTCAAAACTACAAGATACCACACATGCTAGTTACTGTGCATGATGGTGCCGTCAACTCCAGGTTCCTTGGAGAGTCAGCGCCTTCTCCTCTGCTCACTTAAGCTGGTTATATGGAGGGAGGAGTCTTTCAACTCCCAAGTTTCTTGCTATTCTTACTAGAGGGTGTGTGTTTGCATTTGTGCTGGAGGAGAGAAAGGCATGGAAGTGTCATGATGAGCAGGAAAATAACCCTGAAGGGGTAAATCGTTCAGCTCAGCCACCCTTCCTATGCTCTGGCAGCAAATGAAGGAGGCACTCATGCTGGCTGATGGGTGCTGGGTGGCTGGCTGATGGGTGCTGGCTGATGGTACTGGGTGAAAATGACCACACTTTACTCTTCAGGAGGCAGATACAGCTCCATGAGGCTGGAACAAGGTCCACACTGGCTCAGCATCTAGCCTCAAAGCCAGGACACAGCAGGTGCTCAATATTTATAGAATAAATGCCAAATGAATGAGCCTGGGCACAGCTCTGGCAGAGCCTCCTGTCGCTAAAGAAGACTAGGAGCACTCGGCAGGCTTCCCACGTGCCAGCCCCCATTCAGGGCTTGATCAGCACACACAGTGGAAACAGTCACCACTCATTTTAGAGAAACAAATGCAAATAGATTTTAGTCCATCGGTTTGTAGGAAATGCTATAGGTATAGATGGGAAAGGTAGAAATGGGATCTCTTCCAATGTTTCCTGAGAGCTACTATGAGTGTGGCCTGGGGAAACACCCAAGGTGGTCACAATATACTCTGGGACGGCAGGAGAACTACAGTCAGGCTTGCTGACTTCTTAGAAAAGGTTGATGTTTCTTCACTATATATGTGTGTGGTGGTGAATAAAGACACACGTATGTATTTAGTGTATATATATATATATATATATAACCTCTGGTGGCATAGTGCTTAAGGCATTTGACTGCTAACCAGAAGGATGGTGGTTCAAACCCACCAGTCACTCCTTGGAAGGAAGACTGGACAATCTACTTCCAAAGTGATACTGCCTCAGAAACCCAAGGAGGGCTCACTCACCATGAGTCAAATTGACTCAACAGCAGTGAGCTTGGTTTTGGTATATCTATTTGTGTGTGTGTATATATGTATGTATATATAGGGAGCTCTGGTGGCATAGTGGTTAAGGCATTTGGCTGCTAACCAAAATGTTGGTGTTCAAACCCACCAGCCACTCCATGGGACAAAGATGAGGCAGGCTGCTTTCGTAAAGATTGACAGCCTTGGAAACCCTAGGGGGCAGTTTCGCTCTTCCCTAGGGTTGATATGAATCAGAATGGACTTCATGGCAGTGGGTTTGGTTTGGATACATATATGTACATGTGTATTTATCTATCTATTCACAACAATGCACTCAAACATACCAGTGATCATGAAGGTGGCCCAGGACCAGGCAATGTTTTGCTCCATTATACATCAGGTTGCCATGAGTTAGAGCCGATACAGTAACAACTAACAACAACAAAAAATATATATAGCCAACAAACTCATTTACCTTTGGTTAGCAGCTAAATGCTTTAACCACTGCACCATCGGAGCTTCTGAGCAAGGACTAGAGCCTCAAAAACCCTTCAGCCCAGAAGAAATGGGACCAAGATATATGCAAACAATGCTGTATGATGCAAACTTGACAAAGACACAGCCTGTCTCCGCAGTACCTGGAACACAGCACTTACCACACACCTACTGAGTGACAGAATGGCCAAACACACCAACAGTGGTATACGACCAAAACCAAAACTAAACCCACTGCTGTCGAGTCCATTCCAACTCAGAGTGACCCTACAAGACAGAGTAGAACTGCCCCATCGGGTTTCCATGGCTGTAAACCTTTATGGAAGCAGACTGTCTTTCTCCCGAAGCTGGTGGGTTTGAACTGCTGACCTTTTGGTTAACAGCTGAATGCTTTACCCACTGCACCATCAGAGCATAGGACAGGAGGAGACACAGAAGGCCACAAAGGATTGGTTGCTTTGTTACAGGTCCTGAAGGCTGGGGAGGGGCCTCTCAAGTCCCTCACCAGAGTCTGGGCCTGAAGAACTTCCCACAAACTGATGCAAAGGCATTTGGCTACTAACCGAATGGTCAGTGGTTTGAACCCAGCAGCCACTCTGAAGAAGAAAGATGAATCAATTTGCTCCCATAAAGATTTGCAGCCTTGGAAACCCAGTGGGGGTCACTACGAGTCTGAATCAACTTGACAGCAGTGAGTTTGGTTTTTTGAGTTTGGGTGACTTTAACGTGCAGCCAGGATTAGGAAACCAGCAATATGCCATTTTCCTACTGCAACATGGTTAGAATCCTTATTCCGCCCTCAAGGAGTTGGGGTAAACAGACTAATGTTACTGCCAGCTGCACCCATTTTCTGTTCTCAGGAATTCAAGTGGTGCTTTCAGCTGATTGAAGCATCATTTCATGTTCCCGAGAAGCAGATCCCACAATCAACCCCAATGCATTTTGGCCCAGACCCAATTTATCTCAACAAAAGAGGAGAGAGGAGCCCTTGTTCTCTGCATCCAAACAGCATCAGGGCATAGGAAGCCAGCAGCCCAGAAAGATCAGAACAGGCAGGACTGTGTATTTTCTCTCCTTCTCGTTGTATTGTCTTTAAGGAAAATCTGCAAAATCGGGGGTGCTTCTCAACTTCTGGGCATAGTTTTTTTCTCTTTTTTTAATATGGCATTTCTTTCTCAGGCTTTAGGGTACACAGTAATCTTGTGTCAAAGAAAAACAAAAACACACACCAGCATTCTGAAAACTGGTTCAGAAAAACAAGTGGAAGTGAAGGAAAAAGGAGGCACGTGAATTGCTTAGGTAAGGATGAATGTTCGTGTTTAAATAACCTTAAGGCAGAGACTTTTTGCAAAACACAAACAGAACAGGAAAAAAACTGTTCTGAACAATAAAACCTTGCCCAAGAAAATGCCTGTGTTTGGTCATCTCCTAATATGGTCTGCAGCAAATGTCATGGCTTTACGTCAGCTACACTGGACTGGATTGGCACCTGGGCCCAGCAGCTCTCCCACCTCCAAGACACTGACAAGGAAGCACAGACCTGTGGGGTTCCCGGGGTTGATGATGCAGAGCACCTTGGGGTCACAGTGGTTTTTGGCCTCCTGCACAGCCCGCCGGAGCTCGTTCACATTCAGGGCCCAGCAGTTGTCCTCGTCCAGGTAATAGTTCACCTGGATGGCATCAAGCTCAGAGATGACCGCTGAGTAGAGCGGGTACTGCGGGATGGGGATCATGACACCTGTCCGAGACTTGCCGCCCCCAGAGACGAGGATCTTTAGGATCGTCTGCAACAGAGAAGTCACATCTAGAGGGCCACCGTCACTCCCTGTCCCTTGGGGGTTGATGGGCAGACAAACCAGATGGCCCCACCCCCAGCCCTTCACCAGCAGCCCTGCTGTCTGCTTCCAGTGCAGACACTTAACTGTCACTTAACGCCCTCAAGTCTCAGTCTCCTCATCCATAAAATGGGGTCAGCTAAGACCGTGGGGGTGCCGATGGTTAATACCCTCAACTGTTAAACAGAAGGTTGGAGGTTCAAGTCCACCAGAGGTGCCTTGAAAGAAGGGCCTGGCAATCGACTTCTGAAAAGCCAGCCACTGAGAGTCCTCTGGGCACAGTTCTAGTCTGACACACACGGGTCACCATGAGTCAAAATCAGTTCAGAGGCAACTGTTGAGGAATAAACAAAATGTGTGTGGTCTGCTTGCAATTTTAAAAAGTTAAAATTGCAATTAAGTTAAGTACTTGCAATTTTAAAAAGGCATTTGGGGGTCTTCTAAAGCAGTTAAGCCCCCAAACTGGTGCTGTCTTGGAATTATTCTGACCCTACCCTCTGAAACCCCAGTCAGTATGTCTGAGGTGGGACCCAGGAATCTGATTTGTCAGTAAATACCAGTGCCCAAGGTTGAAAGGAGCTCTGGTAGCATAGTGCCTAAGGCACTTGACTGCTAACCAGAAGGCTGGCAGTTCAAACCCACCAGCCACTCCTCGAAAGGAAGGTTGGGCAATCCTACTTCCGTAGTGATACTGCTTCAGAAACCCAAGGAGGGGTCGCTATGAGTTGGGGCCGACTCGATGGCAAACAACAACAAAGGCTGGAAAGTCCCCAGAACAAGGAATTGTTGACATGGGATTAAAAACTGAACAATACCACCTATTGCCACCAGGTGGCGAGTCATCCTGTTTCCAAAGTTGAGTGGGCCATGCGTTTGCAGGATTCCTGAGAAATCAGGCCAGGGATCCTGTGGGGTATTGGTGAAGGCGGGGTATTCTGTGATAATTCACAGAGTTAATAAGCCAAGCCCTCCACAGGGAGAGTCCCCGCCTCACACGTGGACTTAGGTCCTTTCCTGAGCTCAGTTCCTTGCTGTGGAAATGGCACCAGGGTAAAAAGGGCAATGACTTGCTTCTTTGTGCTGAAACTTGCTGGCACTTCCTTGCCCTCCTCCAGGGCCCATGCCCACACCAGGACTTCTCTGGAAATCTGAGGACTCTCGCCAGCAGGTCAAATGGAGGAGGAGGCTGTGGCTGGGGGCCAGGAGCCCCAGTATTAGAATCCCAAGTACCGCAAGAGGCCGACAGAAAGCTGGCAGACCACTTAACCTCTCTGGGCGTCCTTTTCCCTGTGGGCTCCAGTAAGAGTTTAATGCATTTGCAGGGTGTGGAAAGGAATAAAGCACTCAACAAATACCAAAAACAAGAGCGGCAACCTCACTGAAGGAGGAAGGGGTCAGATGGCACCCTGAGTAGGGAGAACAGTGGGGTGATGCACCTAGTACCAAACCAGGCTGGGGGAGGAGCTGCCGAGAGGGAATGGAGGGGCCACAGGCCCCTTCGCAGGCTCCTCTCGCCAAGTAACCACTGATGTCAACCCCCCTTCATTCTGTCCAGAGTCCCTGGATGGTGCAATGGTTAACGCACTCAGCTGCTGACTGAAATACTGGAGGGTCGAGTCCACGCAGAGTACCTTAGAAGGAAGGGCTGATGATCAACTGCTGAAAGATCAGCCATTGAAAACTCTAGGAGCACAGATCCACTCAGACACACGTGGTTAGCGTGAGTGAGAACTGACTCTACAGCAATCGGTCTGATTCACTGGGTCCATGGATAACACCCAGCCCAACCCACCTCTTGCTCCCTAAACAGTCCCTCATATCTACTATGTCCCCTCCCAGGCAAAGTTAAATTTTAAGAACATAAATCTAATCATGCCTCCTTCTTGCTTCAAACCCTTCAGTGGCTCCCTTTTGCTCTTAGGACAATGACGTACATCCTCAGTGTAGCCTCTAAGGTCCTGCAGGACTCAGCCCCCTTTTGCCTCCCCAGCCCGACTTCCAGCAACTCTGTCCTCCCTGTGTGTGCTTGGCTACCCTGACTTTCCTTGTCTAAGCACCCAGCCTCCCTCCAGCTCAAGGCTTTTGTACACGTTGACCTTCTGCTCAGAACACCCCCCTCCCCTTCACTCCTCCGGATCCCTTAGCCATCCACTCAGCCTCCCTTGGAGAAGCCTTCCTGGACTGTCTTCTCCCCACAAGGACAGAGTCCCTGCTGCTCCCACCTGTAGCACAATGTCCTTCTCTTCACTGTAGAAGAGAAACTGAAAGCTTGTTCTATGACTTGTCCGTGATCTGAACGCCTGTCTGCTTCAGCTCTGCCTGTATAAGTAGACACCAAATGTGTTTGGCTCCCCCCGGTCTCCTCCGCACTGGGCACAGTGCCTGGCAGAGGAAGAACACGAGTCCACATCAAGGGAAGGAAAGACCAACACCACCAGACAGATGGGCTCACTCAAGTGCCCCATGGCTCCTTCCCAGCTGGACCTACTGGTAAGACTCTAGAGGGAAATCGAGGCTTCAGTAATAGCCCACGCTAAGGGAGATCACTTGAGGCAAGGGCAGCAGCATGCCAGGGCAGGTGGACCAGAGAGCAGCTAGGCCCTCCTGCCAGGCCTATCTGCCTGCTGGCCAGCTCCAGTGTTTGGCCATAACACACAAGCTATTCTTCACACAGGTGAGCTCTGGATGACATCAAGCCACCCCTACACGTACAGAAATGCCGTCGCTAGCTCCAGTGGTCAGGTAAATGTTGTCAGGGTCTGCAGGCACACCGCCATCTCTCCGGGTGATGTAGGTAGCCACATCTTCACGGATGCAGTTGACGCCCTGGCTAGCACTGTAAGACCCTGTAAGACAGTGATAGAGGCAGGATGTCTGGCCCCATAGAGTTGGTGGAGCAACAAATAATTATTTGGGGGGAGCATGTCTCAGGTGGGACCTGACTCCCACTACTGTAGGCTCCGTAACTTTGTGACAAGCTGTTTAACCACCTCTCTGGGCTTCATCTACCCATCTCTATCCACCCACCCATCCACTCATCCATTGCCATCTGCTCATCCATCCACCTACCCAACCATCTACTTAACCATCTGCCCATCTATCTACTCATCTATTTAGCCACCAATATTTACTGAGCTCCCATCTACTATGTATCAAGCACGGTTCTAAGCCCTGGCTTCTAGCCACACCTATTTTGCCCACTCTCCTGGGATTTATACAGGGTCTTTGACAACCTAAATCGTCACAGCTGGAATTCCTATGCTTCGAACCATTGCCTGCCCATGGTTTCAGAGCTCGAGAACCGGGTGTCTCACTTGTGTTAACCCTTGGTGCTCCAAAATAGCACTGCCTGCTGTATGACTAGCCCCAGGAGCCCAGAGTCCTGACCATCACCACCCTGACTGCTGAAACTTCCGAGCACATGCCATGTGTCAACAACACGCTCAGGCTGCCATTTGAGGTGAAAGGGGCTACCGTTTACATGAAGTTCAAAAAACCTTATCTATGTTGCTAGAAGTCAGAACAGTAGTTACCTGGGGCAAGGGTGGCAGGAGTATTGACTGGAAGTGGGAACAAAGGGGCCTCTGGGGTACTGAAAGCATTTAATATATTCATCTGGGTGGTGGTCACACAGGTGTGCATAGGTGTAAAAATTATTCTAGCTGTTCATTGATATTTTACATTTTATTCTATGTTTGCTATGCTTCAATATAAATTTTTAACAATGTTAGGCCACCATTTATGCTTTTAAAAAGAATTAGAAAGTACTTACACCTGCACAAAATATGTTAAGGGGCTGGGAGCTCCAGAAAGCACTAGATTCTTCTCTGGGGCCTAACATATCATTCCAGGACCTGGCACACAGTTAAATGTGCTGAAATGAAAGAGTACAGCCCAGCTCTGCCTCAGCCTCTCTGGGTAGCAGTGGCCTCACCTCTCTGACCAGCTGTAAAATGAGGGGACTAGGCCAATATTCTAAGATGTCAAGTGGCAAACAGTAATATGTATTAAATCTAGATGGTAGGTAGGTACAAGGGTTTTTTTTTTTTTTTTTTTTTTGGATGGAGGGCCTTGGCATTTATTTTATTTCAACCATGGCAGTTAATTGATTTTTAAAAGTAGGCATACACATACATGGGACAGAATTCAAAAGGCAGGAAAAAGGTACTTGATACACCTCCTCCCAACACATGCCTCCCATCTCCAAGTTTTCCTCCTTGTGTATGTTTCAGAACTACCTTACAATGGGAAGCATTGATGTATTTTTCTTTACAAGTAGAAGCATAAGCTACAAGGGTTTTTGTTACATTATTTTGGGGTATTTGAATATATTTGCAATATTTAGTCAATTTAAAAGTGGGAAGAGGAGCAAATCTGGCCTCAGAGAATCTCCCCTCCACTCAGTAGTTTATTTGATGCCTCTTAGCTCCTTTGCTCAAATATGTCCCAGGGATACATACTTCTCTCTGCCTTTTTTCCTTAAATTGTGATTTGGGTGAAAGTTGACAGAGCAAATTCACTTTCTATACAGCAGTTCACACACACTTTGTCTCATGACATTGAGTGCAATTTACCACAATGCAACAGCTCCCCTCCCACTTCCTCCAAATAGTTACCTCTTCCCTGTGTCCTTCCCTCCATGCACTCCTGACCCCTGAGCTGTCTCCCTGTGCATACACAGCCCTTCTATTCTCCCATGATTGTTCTCTCCAAGGAGTGTACCTACATAGTGTAAATGTTCACCTCATATGCCTGTCTTCTGTTGGTCCAGAAGCCATGGGAATGGGTTCAATTCCAGACCTGAAGGGCAGCAGCTAGGCGCCATAATCTCAGTGGTGCCAACAGGCTCTATGAGACCAGCAAACCTGGTCCCCTTTTTTTCTTTTTCTCCTGAATGATTTTGAGTTTTGTTCCACCCCTCCGCCTTTTCCACCTGCCCCCCGCCCCCCACCCCCGCTGCCCGCGATCTGTGCATCCCACCCTCGCAAGGCCTCCTTTCCTTCCTATCTCAGTCCTGTCTGCTCTCATGAATTCCTGGACCTTCACCACTGGCAAGCTCCCTGCTCCTGCAGAACACAGGCCTTCTACCCTTCTAAGGAGGCACCTGATTTATTTTTGCTCCAAATCAACAGATCTTCCAAGGCTCAGCTCTGGTCTGTCCCTAGGGGGACTGTCCTAAAGACTCCACCCTACTTTAACCCCTTTCCCGGCCTCTAACTTCTCCAATTAGTTTACATAGAGGAAGTCCCGCCTCCCCAGCTTGACTGTAAGTGCCTTGAGGGCAGAGAGCATTACTATTTCTCCCAGAGCACCCAGCCCACTGCTGGGCCCTACCTGGCCTTGCCACATGTCTGCCTAGAACACAATGCCCTGAGACTGAGGGCCAACCTACCTACAGGAGCCAACAAAGTGGCACTACGGCCACTGCCAACTCTAGCCTCATCTCATGGCACCACACTCTGGCTCCCACCTCACTCAGTCAGGCTGCCCTCAAGCCTCGGGCCCTGAAGTTCCCTGTGCCTGGCACGCATTTGCAGGTTTCGGCTTACTCATCTTTCAGGTCTAAGTCTGAACACCACTTTCTCCTTAAGCCCTCCTTCCATGTTAGAATCCCTTGTTAGAATCCCACAGTCTCTGATCTCTCCCCAAGCACTCATTAAAGCTGGGGATTGTGTATTTGTACGTATTCTTTTTAATGTCTATTTTCCCAAAACCTGACCATGAGTTTCACGAGTGCAGAAACTGCGTCCCCGCGCACCCTGGCCTTGTTGCCAGTGGTCCTCAGCCCCTGGATCAGTGCCTGGTCCACGGTGTGCTCCGTGAGAGGCTAGCCCAGGACACACCCCTCCTCACTCAGGTGAATGCTAGGTTTCACCTCAACCCTATTTAAGATCTGAGACACAACCAGAGCAAAGGGAAAATAAATGAGACTCCAGGAAGAAATCATCTTAAAGTCTAGGATGAAAATAGGCCCTGGGTGAGTTTCAAGGCTTTGTGCACATATTTAATGATCCCCACCTGGTCTGAGGTGGCCCTGAAGGATACGACACATACTTTCATTTCCTTTCACTTCTTTGGGCAGGTGCCCAGGCTGATTTGGCTCAGTCAACAGAGCGCCGCCATTGTGTCCTTTGTCATGGGAAGGGCCCACACCACCTGCAATGGGCAGGGCTCCTGCACACCTGACCAGGACCTTTGGCACATGCCATCCTTCCCAGCAAGCCCAGGAGGTGGGTGCAAAGGACTTCTTAGGTCAGGGATGAGGACAGGCTCAGAGCACACCTACCTTACTTGTGTTCCTCAACTTCTGGGAAAGAACTGTGTGCCAGTTACAAAACCCCAAAGGCCAACTGTGCTCTTGCTACAACATCCCCAGAGGGGACTCACATGGAAGTGGCCTCCCACCCATTTCCCCAGCCCTGGCTGGCACAGTTGCAAAGACCTGATTCTGACTCAGCACAGAGGAACAAAGACCCCCTGCCTCTTCCCCAGCCCAGACACTTACATCAGATACAGAAGGCAAACTCCCCCCCACCTCTGCCTCTTGGCCCGGCTTTCAGGAGTCTTAGCTCATGGCCTCGGGTCTTTGAGGAGCACCTTTCTCCTCAGGGTTGCACAGAGGATGCTGAGCCTCTGGGGCTGTTGGGCTGCTGTTTGCCAGCCTGTGGTTTAGGGCTTGGCACAAAAAGCCACTGGCCCACGTGACACCCAGGCTGGCCCCTTCCTGAGAGGGATGGCACTGAGGAACGTATTAGAGCTTAAATTCTGAAGCACTTGGTTTGTGGAAGGCTGTGGTCTACAGTGGGAGCCCTAACTCCACTCTGAGTCTTGACACAAGTTCAGACCCCAGTTATTTCTGACCGTCAGCATCATGGCTACTACGCATAGACAAGTTCCAGAACAAACCTAGAGAGGGGTAGTTTGGGGTCAGGAAGAGTGTGCCTGAAAGTAGGTTACACTCACACAAAGAACTAGGGAACTTGCCTGAGTGTGTCCTTTTCTAATTTAAATTAAGATTGGGGTCCTGCTATTGTTTTGTAGCCACCTTGTGGCTATGACTCAGGTTGCATGGTCAGGAGTCATATCTGGACCACTACCTGGCCAGGAGGAGCTCTGGTGGCGTAGTGCCTAAGGCATCTGACTGCTAACCAGAAGGCTGGCAGTTCAAACCCACCAGCCACTCCTTGGAAGGAAGATGGGGCAATCTACTTTTGTAGTGATACCACCTCAGAAACCCAAGGAGGGGTCACTATGAGTTGAAATCGACTCGACAGCATATTACAACACAACAACAACACCTGGCCAGGTAGTCAAGGCCCAGAAGCAACCCTGTAACCCTTTTCTATGTTCATTTATGTATCCCAGTCATGGTCCTCTCCCCGCTTCTATAGTCCTGCCTGCAACACTGATGAACTGATCTGCCACCAGTCGTGATTTTGAGATGATTCCCTTTGCTTTCAATCATATATAATTAGCCCCGGGGCCGTGACTCAGCAGACTCCATTCAGCTTTCTGGACTGTGTATGTGCTGATGGTTTTCCTCGTCCTGGATGACTGTCTGTTTTTTTGTCTTTGTCCTATCCAAGGCTTAATAAAAGGGTCTCTATTGAGCCTGTCTGGATCTGGGGTCTCTTTTCCCCTATTTCAGGGGAGTGCTCAGGCTCAGGGCTGGTGGGGTGACTGCAGCCAGGAAGGTAAACACGGGCACAGGGCTCTCCTAGAGGATGGAGCAGGATAAGGGATGGGGTGGGGGATGGGCAGCAGGAGAGGCAGGGAGATGAAAGGGAGGCCCATCCCCTGCTGAGAAAGCCACAAGCATCCCTGTCTCGCTCTCAGTGCCTCCAGTTCCAGAACATTAGGGCACATGTCCTAAAAAAAGCTTTTAAGAACTGGTTTCCTCTGGGTAAGGGGAGCTGGAGTCCCTGTATAGGCTCTGGGAAGGAAAGGGACAAAAACAAACAGATGAAAGAAAATGAGAAGAGAACAAAGCCAGCAGCCCAGAGGCTGGAAATCTCAGCAGGGGAGGGAGAGTATTATTTTCAGGGCTGAAGGGTCAAATTCCTGGTCCCCCTCCCCGGAGTCCTCAGGCGCTTGGCCTGCTGGGTAAGGAGGCAGCGAGCTGCCCATGGACCCCCAGCAGAGGGTGATGGGAACTCAGTGAAACGGAAAGGTGAAGCCATAAACAGGGAGCCAGTATCCCACTTCTGTGAAATGTCTACAATAGCAAGTTTGAGAGACCAAAGTTTTTCAGTAGTTACCAGAGGCAGGAGGGAGGGGGAAGGGAGGACAGTGCTTAGGGGACACTGCGCCTCTGTTCAGGGGATGGTACAGTTTGGGAACGGTTAAGGGTGACAGTTGAGCAACACAAAGAACAGAATTAGCCTCACTGAACTCTACTGGTGAAAACTGTTGAAATGCCAAATGTTTTGTTAAAGATATACTTACCACAATGAAAGAATCAGCTTTAAAAAAAAAAATTATTTCTCTCTCATTCTTAATGAAATTCTAAATTTAAAAGCTGGAGAGGGGAGGGGGTCAGGCAGAGGGGACTCAGGTGCCTGCCCTCCCCAGCAGTTGGCCATGGCCCCCACACATGGCCCGCTAGTGTGCTGGGGGCCACACAGGGGCAAATGCTTAACAAAGCTGTGCCCTTTGCTTCCTTGTACCTCCTGCTGCGGAGGCCAATCACATGGTTACCCGTTCCTCTCTGATGGAAAGCTACCCTGTTGAAGCTGCCTCCCTCCACTAAAACCCAAATCCAGCAAAGTACAGACACAGTTCCTGAAGCACCCCAATCCATAAAAGGCTGCCTTTATATCATCAGCTCAGGCCAGGAGGCTGACAGAGGCCCAGCTGAGAAGAACACTACTTTGCATTCTCTCCGCTTACAGCCGACCCCCAAACATGCACACATGCAGGCGCACACGTATTGCCATCCACTCAGCCCGCCCCGCCTGCGCTGAGAGCATGCCTGCTGGGACCGGGCAAGTTGGGGCCTCACCCAGGCTGTTCCCTCCACAAGCCTGTAGGATCCTCCGGGCGCGTTTCTTAGCATCTTCTGGAAAGCTGGGGCTGTCCAACAGGTTAGGATAGGTGCAGAGTGCCATCACCTAGGGAAAGAGGCACAGGCTAGGCTCTCGCACCTCCACCCCCAGAGCACCAGGAGGGACAGCTGACACCCAGCAGGATGTGGTGGGAAGATGGTGAGGCTAAGGATCAGCAAACCTCTCCAGGGGTGCTCCGGCCTGGGGGAGCTTGGGGAGCGGGGGATGGAGAGAGGAGATGCTGAGAGCTGGGAGATTTGCTGCCTGGGCTGGACTAGGGACCAAAGGTGGGCTGCCTGAAGCAGAGTTGGGGAACAGAGAGAGGCTGTGAATCAGCCCTTGGCCCTAACTCTTCTGTAAAGGACAGTGGGCTGACATACCCAAGGCCACAGGGGCCAGGACTGAGGGACAGGAGACCCCAGTTATCAGGAGCAGGGCTGCACAGCCCCTCCATACAGCCTGAGCTCTGCTCACCCACCCACTTTTCCTGGACTCATCATCACCCGTTCCTCACGAGAACCACAGCTGGGTCAGCCTCCTCATCTCTGTGAACGGAGAAAATCACTTTCACCCACAAATCAAGAGGATGAAGCAAGAAATGTGTGCAAAGGGATGCCAACCCAGCTCAGGGAGCAAGTCTGAGCTGGCACAGCAGTGAGGCCAAGCCAGGAACACCAGTGGAATCATGGCTCAGGGCTCTGACCTCAGCCAGGCAGCTTTATGCATGCACCAGGCTTGTCTTCATCTACACAACAGGCAGTAGGCAGCCTGGCCCTCCCAGAGGACTGGGAAGTGTGAGAACACCTGGGAAGCCAGCACTGGGAAGGACAGGCAATGCCTGCTGTGGCAGGTAGGGCTGGATTTGGAAACAGTCTGTCAGCCAGAAGAGGGTGAGGCAGCAAGGTTCATGCCCTGTACCCTGGGGGAACAGCGGGGGCCTCTGCCAAGAGAGGCCATGTGCTTGCACGATGAGTGGGACCTCTAAGCTCTTCCACATCTCTGGCAAAGCCGCTGTGTCAGTCTCCTCCTTTCCCTATTTGATGTGATCCATTTCCTCATTCTGGGCCCAGATTGGGGACTCGATTTCCGTGGCAGCTGGCATGCTCTTGGGGTCAGCAGCAATGGTGACAGGAAGGAGGGAGGGGAGCATGGTGGACACTCCTCAGACCAGTGCCAGTCTCAGCTCTAGCCCTACTGCCTGGGTAAATGCCCTTAGGTGCTGCAGGCAGAGGGGCCATAGCCTCTGTCCCCTCCCCAGCATGGGGAAACCCCTGCCCCCAGATAGCAGGGCAGGATCACACCTCCTCTATGCCAGCCCCTAGAACAGGAAAGACGGGCAGGGAGAAAGGACCTGGGTACTCAGCATGTACATCCCTGCCTGCCCAGCCCTGTGAATCATAACCACAAGCAGGGACCATATTTTACTCCAAACAGACTCCAGTGCTTCCCTAGGAAAAAGGTTCCAGCACAGCTCGGTCTCTGGCCTGAGTCAGGCTGCCCGATGGCATCCTCCCACTTGGTTATCTGTCTCTCCAGTTACCAGTCACAGTTGACCTGTAGTTGGTGCTCAAACTAAGACAATGAAACCTACTTCCTCCTGGGGTCTTCAGGATAGAGCTGGGCCTTGTCAGGAGAAAGCCAGGAGTGTGGCAGCTGGCAGTGGCACCACTCTTTTCCTGTGCTCTCAGCTAGGAAAGGGGAGGCCTGGACACCCATTGTCTTACTGAGCCTCCCGCAGATCTGGTGTGTTCTCCTTGCCCAAGGTCACCCAGCTGGTGAGCAGCAGGGCCAACACTCAAACTAGGGTCAAGCTGACTTGAGAAGTCACTGTCTTGCCTACCACACACCATCCCTCAGCCCACCCTCATCACCTCCCCTGGGCCACCACCTACCCCTGGTGCCCCTGCTGACCAGCTCCTACTCAGAACCATGGAGGATGTCCCTGGGAACCTGAACACCACACCAACCCCAAAATAGGTTTAGGGATTTCAGACCACCTTAGAAAAGGGAGCAGACTAAGGGAGAGAGCCTGGGGCATCACTGGGGGGAAGGAGGAGTGCCAACTGGACAGTACCTCCCCATGGGATTCTGCGGCCTGCTATGTCCCAAGAGGGCAGAGGGCAGAGGGCTGGCTGGCCCTACAACCCCATGTTGGTTCCTCCCAGCCTCCAGTTCCCTATTGGAGAACCAGCTCACCTGTCGGAGGAAGGTGATTGGTTGTTGGCCCATGGCCTGGGCATCTCCGATATTGGCGCGGATGACCTCAGTGAACGGTTTTTTGATACCCTGAGCAGAGAGATGGTAACAGGTGGTTACTTAGAGACACTGAGACCCTGGATTCCAGAGACCAAGCAGTGTTCCCTTAGGGAGCTTATTAATAAGCATCACTATTTTGAGCCTGACCAGGTGTCAGGCACTATGCCAAGCCCTTGACATGCCTGGTCCCATTTAATCTTCACAGCTGCTCCAGGAAGAGCTGTTATTAATCCCATTTTACAGATGAGGAAATTGAAGCTCTAAAGATTAAGAGACATGCCCAAAGTCACATAATCAATAAAGACTTGGAAGCCAGACTCCTAAGGTCACTCTTCTTAGTCACTATGCCCCAGCGCTTCTCAGTTTCCAGAAAGGCTGGAAGGGCTTTTGTGGGCCACCAGCACATCCTGACAGCTGCAGGTGCCTGACCGGAACGTCACCTCACGGGGATGTTGAAAAGAAGGCTCTCGGGCAAATGTGGCGGGAAGGACGTGGGTGAGCAGCAGAACATGCCAAACATTAGAGAAGGGGAGAATCCTACAACCCCTCCGTACCCCAGCCCCAAGAACATCTCCACCTCAACAGCGCAAGTAAACAACCAGGGACCTGAGGATACCCTCACCCCTACAACACACTGATTAGCGGCAGGGAACTCTTGGGTTGTTCCCTTGCGAATTTGGCTTTGCAGAAAGAAGTCTGTAGGCTGATTTTCACATTTTTTAAAAAAAGCACCAGGGATAAAAGGACTGACTGAAGAACTAAATGGAGGCCATTCCTTGAGCAATGTGCTTAGCACAGAAAAGGGATCACAGGGGAAGGAAGAACTCAGAGACTCTTGCAACATCACTGGAGAGGCAGTGAGTGAAGGGCTCCCAGGACCTGCAGAGGAGGAAATGGGGTTTGGTATAAAAGACTGGTGGCATCCGAGTATGTGGGCATTCCTCACAGCTCCTTGGTAAATCTAAACTTAGCTCCAGGCTAGCAACAGGTTCAAGGACCTCCCAAGGTGGCTGAAAGGATTATCTGAGATAAACAGTATAAAATTGCTTGGCAAAGGACAAATATCATCACCTTCCAAACCCAGCCCAGGAATGAGGTTGTAAAGGTCATGGTAGAGAAAGAAAGGGTTGGGACAAGAGGTGACAGGGCCAAGGGATGGCACAGTGGGAGGGCCTGGCCATCTCCCCATTGCCAACTACCAACGACATCCCAAATATAAAACTTAAAAACACAACTTTATAGTTTGGACAGTTGTGTTCTTTTTTCTCCATTTCAAGTAATATGTGAATGAAATCAATGTTAGAAAACTTTGCCTTTTTTTGAAAAAAAAAAAAAAAAAAAAAATCAGTAACATACAGCTTAAGTAAGAACCAGTAGGCTTGAGATGAAACAAAACAAAACAAAAAACCCTAACTGCCATTATGTTGATTCCAGCTCACAGTGACCCCCACTGTGTTTCCAGGGCTGTAATCTTTACAGAAGTAGATCACCTCTTCGTCCTCCCAGAGCAGCTGGTGGGTTTGAACTGCCAACCTTCTGGTTAGCAGCCAAATGCCTCACCCACTTCGCCACCAGAGCTTCATGAATGATGAAAACAATTGCAAAACAAGTCTCCTAGCGTGGGCTCCCAGCTACAAAACTAGGAGCTTCCAACCCCTAACTTCTTCCCATATAGAAATCCTCCAGTTGCTTCTGGAGCCAGGAGGCATGGGGGGCTGAGAAGGTACCCCAGAAATCGTCTGCAGCACTCACAAGCAAGTCAGGGGCTGGTAAGTCTCAAAAAGTTGTTTCTGAGGAAAAAGAGGGTGTTTTAAGTTTGTGTACCCCTTCTACCAAGTTCTTCAGGGCTGGTCAACATGGAGGAAGAGATTTCCAGGGACATCGGAAGCAGGGGATCCCAGTCGTTTATCAGGGGAGAGGGCGGGCACCCTGGAGAGACTCAGACTGCGGGCGTGTCTCATTCCGAAGGCGGGAGCCAAGACAGCTGGAGGTGGGGTAGCTGCCCTGGCCACTGGATGCAAAGGGGCAGGCCAGACCCACCCCCTGGCACTGGCCTGGGCCTGGCACAGGGCCCTCTGACAACATTACTGGCTTGCTGTGGCCCCAGGCCTGGCCAGCTGAATGCAGGTGATTTCCATGGTATATACAGCCCCTTCTTCAGTCGGGAATAAATCTGTCACAAACTCAAGGGCCAGGAACCAACATACAGCTGCAGGCCCTTGGCCAGCCCATGATAGGGTGAGAATAATGCCTGGAACAGCGCCTTGGACATTCCTTCCCCATGACCTCCCCCTGCACCGTTCAACTGATTCAGGGCCTGTCGACAAGGAGCCTGGGAAAATTGAGCATCTCTTTTCTTGAGTCTTGGCACCAGAGATACTTGGGAAATTGGCTCCTTCGAATGGAAAAGCAGCAAGGGGACCAGCCTACTTAGCCAAGGACCATCACACAGAAACCGTTTGAGGATGACTCTTGTATCTGCTCACTCCAGGTCCACACATGGGTTGGAAAATACCAAGGGTCTGGGGCAGACTTCTGCCATGGTGACTCACCCAAGTCTGGTAGGCACACCCAATAGTGACTTCACCTCAGCCCTGTCCCCAGGCCCTGCTTCAGCGGGACTAACAAGCATGCAACGTCCTGGTTTCCTCTCACAGTATCCTAGAGCCTACCTGTTGAATGCACCCAGAGCTGCTTCCCTGTGCGGTGCTGAGCGAAGGAAGGCCCGACCCAGTGAGGGCTCCCTTCCCATCACTCCAGGCTCAGGGAGGATCAGGGGAGTAGGCACCCATGCTCCAAGGACGGCATATCACATAGGGTATTGTAGTGATTGCTGTTAGCAGCTATTGACCTATGGTGACCATGCACAGCAGAACAAAACGTTGCCCGGCCTGCACCATCCCATAATCGGTTGGAGACAGGACCTCTGTGACCGTAGGGTTGTCATTGGCTGGTTATCAGAAATAGACTGCCAGGTCTACTCTGCCTTAATCTTGAAGCTCTGCTGAAACCTGTTCCCAAGCCTCTACAGACAGATAGGTGGTACCTGCATATGAGGAACATTGGCTGGGAATTGAACCCAGATATTCCACATGGACAGTGAAAATTCTGCCACTGAACCACCACTGCCCGCTTCAAAGGGTGCTTAGTGGGGAAGGGAAATGGATTCATCCTTGTCCTTCCCAGTCCCCAGGTCCAGTATCACCATATGAAGGTTAAAGGGCAGATGGATGATTCCCGTGGCACCAGTTTCCTCATGTAAGGGATGGCTCTTGTCATCATGTGACATGTAAGCGAGAAGTCTGGGTGGGGTGGTTACTCCCAGAGTCTCTACCTCTCATTCAACAAATATTCATTCATCATTCCTGCTCCGGTGACAAGAGTGAACAAACCACACAAGGTCACCACCCTTAGGCACCCAATCTGCTGAAAAACCAAAGTGGACACGGTGAAGGGGCTGGGCAAGGGATGGGGAGAGGGCAGAGCAGACCCCAGGAACATTATGTGAAATAGCCCTGAGGTCCCTAACTTAATAGGAGTGAAGGATGGGGACTGAGGCAGGCAGGAAGCCCTACAGCGAGCTCTAGAAAGAAGCCCCAGAGACAAACCCTAACTAGACCCCACATTCCTTGAAGACAGCTGCATTTCACAGCTGAGGAAACCCAGGCTCAGTACAGGGTCTGGCCTGGCGCATCAGAGAAGACAAAGCATGGAAGAAACCAGGGCCCCAGCTATATACGCCCGTGATTAAGAGATTAGGTGGGAGCTCCAAGGGTGGAGTTTCCTAACCACCCAAGCAGGCTGGACATAGATCCTGACAGCGTGGAGACCCTGAAGTTGGAGGTCAACTGGAGAAGTCAAGATTTCCAAAACAGAAGCAGGAATGAAATTTGAATGAGCTCCAAACAGGGTAGTTCAGGGTAGCTTTGGCCTAGGGAGGAGAAAAGCCACAGAGTGTGTTCCCAGACCCACAGAGACTTGGGAGGAGGGAAAGTAAAGAGGGACCCTCACCATATCAGGTCTCTTATCAGCTTAAGGACAAAGATTCTTCAGGGTTCTAGTTGTGCTAGCTGTTCAAAGTCTTACCACTAATATCTCAAACCAGCCTTTAATCCACTGCCATTGAGTTGATTCCAATTCATAGGGACCCCCACTGGGTAAATCTTTACAGAAGTAGATTGCCCTGTCTTCCTTCTGTGGAGTGGCTGGTGGGTGTGAACCACCAACCTTCTGGTTAGCAGTCAAATGCCTTAGGCACTGTGCCACCAGAGCTCCTTAAACTAGCCTTTAGAAGAAATAAATTTTGTAGAAGAGTAAACTGAGGCCAAGGTGCTTTGAATGACTTGCCTGAGGCCTATAGCACATACAGATAGAGCCGGGGAGGTAAGACTGTGGTGATGTGGGCAGAATGGGTGGGTGCAGGGTTCTTCCCACTAAAAGCCTATGTTAACAAATTTCTTTATTTTAAAGTAACATCTAAACTCTAAAGAGAAGGACCAATGAGATTTCACCACCTGTGCCTGGCACATCTAGAGGGTACCGATCTCAGTTCTTAGCTAACCATGGCTCGGTGCTCCCCCACCCCCATCTTTACCTGTGTTTGGACGCAACACACTCTGATGGTAACAGTGCTGATCAGTGGTCCCTTTTCTGAATCCCATTTCTGAATGTTTTGCCCTGTGTGTACTTTTATAATTGGGAAAAGTAAAGCCATCCCCATCTCCACCGGTGCCTACTCTGCCCTCTAAACCCTCTGCCTTCCCCAGTAAAGCAAGAGAAAAAGCAGCAGCTTGAGCAAGAGCTGACAGATCTTTTCCAAACTCCTACTAATTGCAGCTTATTTTAAGTGCTGCTCCCAATGATCATGCAAGAAGCACAGGATTTGAAAAGCTAAGACAGGTTCTCCTTGGAGCTGCTGTAAGTGGGGGCTGGTGGAAGAGACTGCCCTGTTCACCCACTCAGCCCACCTCTCCTCCTCCCTCAGGTTCTCCAGAGCATTCTCCACCCCTGTCAGAGAAGGAAGGACAGGACTTGGCTGGCCAGCCACCCCAAAGTGAAACACTAAAACCACATGTTTGGCCAAACAGCTTGTACTGTTCGCCAAGGACTTGGTGACATGATTCCATAAGGCAGCACAAAGACCATGGTACCACCAGGGGCCATGACGAGTGCCCCAGGACACCTGGGCCAGACAAGGAGGTACAAAACTCAGAGCAGGTGGTGACCTCTAAACCCAGCCAGCTCGCGTCTCTCCTTTCACAGATGGAGAAACTGAGGCCCAGAGGGGATATGGAATTTACCCCAAGTCATCCTACTTTCTATAAACCCTAGGCCATCCTATCTCCAATGAAATGGAACCCTTTATACCATCAGTCCAGCTCTGCTCACAACTCAAAACACGCTGGAAAACTGAAGTCGTGCCAAGTCAAAGACCCCTTCTTGAAAATAAATAAATAAATAAATATTAAAAATCAGAACAGATTCAGAAAACGTGGCTTTCTCAGAAGGGGTATTGCTTAACTTAGCAAAGTAGAAAAGGGCTGTCTCCTTGGGAAGGGAAGGCTTAAAGGTACAACTAGTTAACTTGCTTGACTGCTAACTAAAAGGTTGGATATTCGAGTCCCCCCAGAGGCACCTCCAAAGCAAGGCCTGGTGATCTGCTTCCGAAAAATCAGCCACTGGAAACACTCTGAAGCCCAGTTCTGCTTTTAAACACATGGGTTGCTGCGAGGCAGAATGAACTTGCTAACAAATGGTAACTGGTAGGCTGTCCAGTACCTACAGTTGAGCAGCTGAGACTCCTTAAAGCTAGAACAGAGGGAGAACAGAGCAAAAATGAGAAGGAAATAAAAGTGTCTGTCATGGGTTGACTTTTGTGCCCCCCCCCCCCTTTAAATATGTGTCACCTTGGCTGGGCCATGATTCTCAATAGTTTGGCAGTTATGTAATGATGCAATCACCCCCATGATGTGATCAGTCAATCAGCTGTAAGGGGATTAGGGTGGGATGCAACACTCTTACTCAGGTCACAGCCCTTATCTGATGTAAGGAGACTTTTCTTGGCATGCTACCTACATCACCTTCTATCTTACAAGAGATGAAAGGACACAGAAGCAAGTAGAGAGATGCGGACATGACTACCACCAAGAAAGAAGAGTCAGGAGTGCAGCATGTCCTTTGGACCCAGGGTCTCTGTGCTGAGAACCTCCTAGACCCAGGGGAAGATTGGTGCTAAGACACGTGTAGATTTCCAAGGCATGCCAGGGCCACAGATGTTGAAACAGACAAGGCCTGCAGAGCTGACAGAGAAACCTTCCCTAGAGCTGGGACTCTGAATTCAGACTTCCATCCTCCTAAACTGTGAGCGAATAAACTTCTGTTGAGTGAAGTCATCCGCTTGTGGTGTTTCTGCTACAGCAGCACTAGATAACTAAGACAGCACCAGAGAACAAAGGTCGACAGAAAGAACTCCTCAACCAACTCAAGGGTGGGATGTGGGGATGTCTTAGAAACCACTGGGTGCCTCGGGCCCAAATGACTAAGAAGTTCACCTGCCTGCCGTCACTGAGCCACACCCCTGCTGGAAACCATGTCCCAGTTCCCCCACTTCCCACCAGAATACACCATAAACTCCTGAGCCTGGCACACATAGCCCCTACCCACCATTCCATCTCACTCCTCTCCAATAGCCCAATACCAAACAATGCTCTCCAACAGCACCATCCCCCTGCCCCAAATGCCCACAACTTCCCCACCTCCTGCCTTTGTTCACAGCACTGCTCCCATCTCGAATGCTCTCACATTTTCCCTGCCTGCTAAAAATTCCCACCAGTCCTTAAAGAATTGGGGCAGGGAAGGGGGGTTGCTTTGGCCCAGAGAACAATATGCCAGTCAGCTCCCTCAAGTCAAAGACAGCCCCACAAGGAAGTTGTCATTTAGCAAAAGGTCGGGTAATTCCTGGAAACCTGCCAGCTCTGGAACTGGAGAAATCACCTGTAAAGTGATAAACCTTGTTGTTGTTGTTATGTGCCATCGAACCTAGAACAATTTAATCCCAGCTTTAACAAGGAGACTTTGCCTCAAGGAGGACCAACTCTAACTTGTCAGGTGTCAACAAGGAGCAGAGCAAAAAAAAATGTGTTCTCTGCCCCTGGTCTGCCTCTAGGTCAAGGACGTGCAGAAAATGGAACCAGCCTTCTCTCCAGGGCCAAACTTTAAACTTAGCTCTGCAAGGAGTGGCCAGGAGACATCAGACTCTGACTTGACCAGTTCACTGTTTTGAGTCAGCAGAACTGGGTGTCCAAATGAGGTATCTGCAGGCCATGATCTCATCACACCCTCAATGTCCCTGTGGGAGTGGAGTCCAAGTGTTCACCGTGGCTTCCACCTAGGCCTTCAAGGGACACTAAGTGACCGCCTTGTTCCTGAAATGTTAGGATCTGGTGCCTCTGAGAGTAAGATCAAAGAGCACCCCTCCATGGGTCAGACTCATCTGGAGCAAGCAGCTGGGTGACTATCTCAGGAGCTTTTTACAAATTTTCGGAGTGTTTACTTTTTTAGATAACCCCTCTGGCCTCCCAAATTCCACCCAGATTAGAGCTGTGGTATTCCACAGAGGGGGCATCTCTTACACTAACCACAGCCACCCTGGTTGTCAGGAGACAGAAATCACTCCTAGAAGTGTGGCCACTTTACACGTAGCTATGAACTCCAGCCAAGATCCCAGCCAATGAGCCATCAAGTTGAAGAAAGTCCCAGGGCCTCTTTATCTAAAGACCCAAGAGGCTCCAGTCTCTGAATACACACTACAGGTAACTGAGTCCTCAGGGGCAGAGAACGAGAGGTGGCTGGACAGGTGGGCAGTCAGGGTTCCCCTGGGAGCCAGAGGGAACTACTAGTGACTCTCTTCCATGCCCCCTCCTCAGCCCGGGCACTCTGGTCAAGGAATCATTATTGGCAAAGGACCTTGGAGGAGAGAAAAAAAGCTTCCAGAACAAACCCAACACTCCTCAGAGCCCTACTCCCCCACCCCCAACCCCACCCCTCCTCCGTTTCAATTTCTTAGAAGCATTAATTCACTACCTGCAACTCCTGTTTTTTTTCTTTACTGACTTCTTGTTTTTCTCCCCCTTCTGGATCTTGGTTCCATGCGGACAGGTCAGCCACGTAAGACGCAGTGCTTGGCACCATGGGCCGCTCAATTATAATTGATGAATTCAATTCAACAAGTGAATCATATTTGAAGGCCTTACTTCGTGCCAGGTGCCGGGCACTGGTGGGTGCAGGAAGGGGAAGAGGGCTCTTGTTTTAGCCAACCTTGGCAGAATGAAGGAGCTGGCCATGGGGGTGGGGGGAGTCCAATGGTCGAACCCCAGTGAAAGACAGCTGCGGCTCTTCCCTCATCAGCGCCCCTAAGCCTCCCCAGCTCCGCGGGCCCCGAAGCCCGCGCTCACCCGCTGCAGTTCCAGCTCGATTTCGCCGGCCTTGAGCACGATGGGTCCCCGCACCGCATACTCCACCGCCTTCACCTGCGGGTTCATGGACTCAAGCGTGAGGATGCGCTCGCGCGGGCTCCGCTCGGGCCGCACCTTCAGCACCGCCGAGGCCTCAGCGGCTGCGCTGCTCTGACTTCGGCCCCAGGAGCCCGGGGTCCGGAGACAGCAGCGCCGCCGAACCAGCGCCGCCGCCCGCTGCATCGTGCGCCTGCCCAGGGAAACCTTGGCACAAAAAGAGAAAGAACAAACACGTCGCGCACAGCCCAAGACGGGGCACTCGTCCTCCCCAAGCGCAGCTAAGGGCTTTTTCAGCGAGCTGTGTCAGCCTGGCTCCGGGGCTGGTGCCTATCTCCGGGCGACCGAGACCCTCCACCGCGCCACTGCAGCGCCAAAGCGCTTCACAATCGATTTTTGCGAAGGTGTTGCCCAGTGCATGTATGCAACGTGCCTGTCGCCAACTGGCAGCCCTTCGCCGCACCCCGGCTAGCGCGCGCTCCCGAAGCGGCTCCCAGGATCCAGCACCCCCAGCCGCATCCCGGCGCCCGAACCACCCGGCCCCCTGCTCTAGCACACCCACTGCCGGCGAGTCCGTCCTGGGCCTGCGCGCTGGCCACTGGGCTTTGTAGTTCCTCCGACCATTCTCGGAGAAAGTGCCGAGACCTAGAAAACTACAACTCCCACAGTGCTCCGCGCGGTCCGGGAGTGGGCCGGGCGGAGGCCGGGCGGGGGCCGGGCAGGGGGCCGGGCAGAAGGCCTGGCAGAAGGCCCGGCAGGAGGCGGGAGCGGTCGGTTTAGCCCTGCGAAGCCCTGGGCGGGCTCTTTGTCCTGACCGCAGGGTTGAAAAGCTAGGTAGGGACTGGGCAGAGGCTGTGGTTTCAGGCCCTTCTGCGAATCTAGAGTATTTGCAGTTTTTCCTGGAGGCGCAACCCTGTCCCTCCCACACCTGCAAGGACGCGGCCTGCTGGATGGTGCAGTCGTCGCCCCGAGTTTCATCATCCAAGGCCAGGCGGTGGCAGCGGCTGCTCAATGGGAGCTGCTAGGAAGCAGGGGTTAAGAGTTTGGGACTTAGCTTTTGTCACTCTGACCACTTCTGAACGTCAGTTTTATTATCGGAAAAACGGGATATACCAATAGCCTCTCAGGGTTGTCGTGAGAGTTAAATACCGGTTTTTCAGACGACTCCGTCAACTCCCCCCACCCCTAACCCCCGCCAACACACCCTCACCCACACCTGCACAACCCAGTTTTATTTCTTTCTCAACATCTGAGATGATCGCATTTAGATATCTTTCATTAGTCTATCTCCCCTACTTGGATTTAAGCTCCAGGGGGCAGAGCAGGTCTTGTTCATCTTATTCACATTATCTCTTTGATAGTGCCCGTCGCACAGAAGGCATTCAGTCTTTGTTGAAGAATGAAAGCTAAAAACAGGATAGTTATTATTTTTGGCAAAGGTCTATCCAGACAAAAGACTTGCTGTCTCTCATAGGTTGAGTACAGAGGAAGACTGAGAGGTGGCGTTAGGTGCCATGGAGCGGACTCCCAACTCATAGCAACCCTGTGTATAACAACAAAAAGTTGTCTGGTCCTGTGTCATTCTCACATTGACAGGTATATTTGAGCCTATTGTTGAGCCACTGTCAATCCATCTCTTTTTCTCTGACCCTCCTGTGGATGGGGGTATTGTAAGATAGTACAAACAATGTAGTCAGGAGACCTGGGGTCTAAATGAGACACCACAATCTACAGAGAGGATGTTGGAGGAGTCGGTTCTCTCTGGGCCTCACATTGATTCTCCATCTGCAAACTAAACTTTATTAAATGACCTTTAAGGTCCTTTCCAGCCTTGGAAATTCTGTGAGAATAGATGTTCTCAAGCAGGACAGCCCAGGGGCTTCCTCATCCCAAACACACACACACACAGAGACAGACACAGACGCACACAGAGAGAGACAGACACACAGTTCCTGAAGGCTGGCGCAAGAGATACATGATGAAGGCAGTGCAGGAAGGAAAACCCACTGCCAGCAAGTCAATTGCAACTCGTAGCGACCATAAAGGACAGAGTACAACCGCTACCAAAGGACTTCCAAATCTATTAATCTTTATGGAAGCAGACTGCCTCATCTTTCTCCCACAGAGTGGCTGGTGTGTTTGAACCACCAATTTTTTTTTGCGGGGGGGGTGAGCATCCTAATGTAGCCTAATGTTTTAACTGCTGTGCCCACCAGAGCTCCTCAGTGTAGGCAGAACACACTAGAAAACCTGGGTTTGAATATAGTTTGCATACAGTTACTGCCTGGCTCACTTGGAGCATGTTACATAGCCTTTGTAAGTCTTAGTTTTCTCATCTGTAAAATGAGAACAACACCGCTTACCTCATGGGACCATGGAGAAGATTTGATGAGGTAATTTTGTAAAAGCCAAGTGTTTAGAACATACTGCTGTTATTCACCCAAATAACAATTGCAAAAAAAAGAAAAAGAGGAAGATGTATGAACATCCTGTTCATCCTTGTCAAGAAAATGCCACATGTTTTGATTAAAGAAATTCATTACCTATCCCGGGAAATAAGGGGGTGGGGGAGAACAACAGAAACCTAAGATTCCTATGAGTATTGCTATGCCAGCAAACTGGCTTGATTACAGGGTTATATGGGCTTCTCATCCACTGGTTTCACCCCCAGCATCTGTGTCTACACTATTTCCCAAGCTCCATCTCATGACCGTGTATTCAGACTCCAGTCCACACAACGAACTTGGCTGCTGTAAGGACTCCACTGCCTTCAATGACAAGTTTGCATCTGTTCTGCCCAGTTGAGGATACACACACACACATACCTCCACCTCTAAAACACACTTAACCTTGGCCTACATGTGATATAAGAACAGTGTTTCACTGCCTGGTATTGGTTGAATGACAGATACATAGACCAATGGAATAGAATTGAGAACCGAGAAATAGATCCATCGACCTACAGTCAGCTGATCTTTGACAAAGTTCCAAAATCCATTAAATGGGGAAGAGAATGTTTGTTTAATAAATG